AAAATGAATGGGAGTCTATGGAGCTAAACGGCTAAATTTGTTTCTTTCACCCGATTGCCGTTGAGAAATCTCAGATTTTATTGTAGGTTTTGCAAGTTCAACATTGGTTATAGGTCGAAAGTTGAATGAACGAGTACTTATGTCCTTTCAGTTTCTTACAGCTTGAGTTGTTGTTGCCCATAACACGCTAGCATTCTGCTAATGAACGCTGGTTGGTCAGTGAAGGACTGATTACGACCAAAGATACCGCTTGATGGCATCGTGGCATCCGAAGCGGGACCAGAATGTTAAGAACTTTAGTTTAACAAACACAAACACTCTTCTAGCACGTGTCAGCTGTGTTGTCGATGCCTCGAGAGAGAAAAAAAGTGCAGAGCGCGAAAGCACCAAAGTGACTGAAGGATTGCCGTAAAGCAGGATCTCTGGTCATATGATGTGTATGACGTCATTGACATTTTAAAAGACTTTTTAAAGCAAATAAGTGACTCTAAAAAATCTAACACCCAGCAATGTGTAATTTCTTTGCATCTCCTTTCGAATACATCATTCAAATTACTAGACAAAAAATTATATCCTGCGAAAAGTGGATTTTGAGGGGTATAGCTCCATAGACCTCCATTCATTCTGCACTCGTCCTGTGAGCGCCCTCATATGGAACCAGAGTGGAACTGCAACCAGTTCAGAAGCCGGAAGTTTACTGAGAGTGGAAGTTCTCCCCTTATTAGACATTCTCTGGCAGCAATAAGGACGAGTATGGCGAGTGGTGGCGACCCACATAAGGACCCGCCGGCCTCTTTAAGATCGCAAGTTTGGGAAAACTTCGGTTTCCCAGTCAGTTGCGCGCGCTCTCTCTCTAAACTGGTTCTATGCCTTTACTTTATTAATAAAACTTATTTTAAAAATACAAGGTTTAAGACATTTATTTTCCTTTAATCCAGCCCCCTCCTTTTTTGTTTTGCTTTTCCCTCCATTGTACCGAACTCGTACCGAACCGTGATGTCTGAACCGAGGTATGAACCGAACCGTGACTTCTGTGTACCATTACACCCCTATCATTTATATATGATTTCTTTTTCTAAATTCGGTTATTGATTGATCCGATCAGTGCCATTTTCCAGTGAGAAACACATTTTACATTTAAACATATAGTCTAAATAAAAAATTATAGCTTTGTTTGCATAAAATAATGATAATACTAATAATTGATGAGAGAAAGAGTACATTTTTTATTGTGTGGACTAACAACAACAACAATATATCATAATAATTTAATATCAAATATACTATTATGTATTAAATATACATACATTAATTTATATCATACATAAATAACAAGAATAGTTATTATTATTAAGTAGAAAAAATAAGATAATAATGTTTTTATTGTTCAGTTTTTTATTGTTAGTTATTTATTACTATTGTTTCAACATAAAAATTTAAATAAGTGCTTAATAATAATTATTGTTATTTTATAAAATAAATAATTTAATACTAAATATACTAGTGAGAATGAAATAAATATAGGCTACATTAAATATACATAAATACATAATTATAACACAGTTGATGTTACTATTTTTATTATTATTATTATTAAAGAAAAGAAAAAAGATAATCATGCTTATATTGTTGCAGTATAATGATTATTTATTTATTAAATTAAAATAATATAAAATAAGTTTTGCATGTTGTTTATCAGACACCTAATCTTTCAATTCATCATGAATTGTAGGCCTTTTCAATGCTATCTCATGACCAATTCGTACGAGTGAAAGGTGGCTAATTCGTACGATTTGTCTAAACCCCAGTGATGGGTAGGTTTAGGGGCGGGGTCAGGGGAAGGTCATTCGTATGAATTCATACGAACTGGGCAACTGGTAAAATATGTACAATTTACCAAAAATTGTACGAGTGAGCTCGTATGAATTTGTACGAATTAGCCACCTCATAAAATTCATACGAATTGCCTTGAGATTGGGTTGGCCTTTTGCAATGGTCTACTGTACATGTTTAAAACCTCTAAGCTTACAGAAGAATTGATATCCACACAATGCTCTGTTAGCTCAGTGTTTATTCCAAAACATTCCAGTGTCATATCATCCCACAATTTTGGTGAGCTCATATACACTGTGAGAAGACCAGTTATAATTGCCTTTCACTTTCAAAATTTTAAGAATATTACTTGACCAAAGTCACATTTCTGTTTCCTGCCCACAACATGCATCATCTATATAGAAGCAACTGCTATGGGGTTGTGAAAATCAAATACTTTGACCGATTTAATAAACATCCATTCTATTCTCCCCAGTCCATAATATTAAAAGAGTGAAGATCTCAACGACCTTCAAGCACCGTGCCTCCAGGGAGGTGGCAGAGAGAATACGTGTCTCCCAACACGTGTTTACATAACTGCTCCACTCTGTTGACTGGAGTCCTTGCCTTGAGTGTAATACGGGTCGCCGTTTATAGTAAAGGTTTTGTATGGGGGAGGGAGGCTGTATGAAGCACGGTGTTCTCACATGAGCTCTTTCCTTAAGATGGTGCTGAGAGACACCATCATCATCAGCCGCTCATTGGTAAGCACTTGTCATCTCTAGGGGCTGTTATGTTTTTGTTTAAGGTGCTGAAAAGTAGTTATAGATCGACTCTGAGAGGGAACTTGAGTTGAGAGCCATCAGGGGTGTTTAGTCCAGTGGAGCATGTTGATGATTATGGTGATAGAGGCTCTCGCGCAGGTCGTGGGCGCTCTAATGCTGGCCTCTGTCACTGCAACTTACATAATGACTCCTGCAGTCTCCAGCTGATAGCACAGGCATTTCGTTTCAGGGAAATAATGCACACAGGAAGCCCATGAAAGAGAGCGGTAGGAGCAGGATAGTGAATGCTGGAGGAAAGAAGAATAGATGTAATCTGGAGATTTTCAAGATAAATGACAAGAGAAGAATCAAGCAGATTATTTAATAATTCATCGGCTGATCTGGGAGATATTGTTCTCAGTGTCTTTTGGGTAGAGACTGAAAGCATAAGGAATCTAATGATTCTGGTTTCTATTTTGATTTCATATAATATAAAGATGAATAGTTGATTTTTAGGCAACAGAACAATAACATTCATATTTATTCCATTAAGTAACTGTTATCTCTCCTAAACACATACTTGTACATATATAATCATGACATGTCAAATGTGACAAAGGAAAAAGTAAAAAAATCTAAATTCTGTCATCATTTACTCCTCTCATTTTGTTGTAAATCTCTATGACTTCCTTTCTTCTGTGGAACACAAGAATGTTTGGATGAAAATAGTTGAAACTATTAAAGTCAATGGGGTCCAAAATAGGGCTGTTGCATGCAGTATATCGGTATTGACGATATAGGCGATATTTAAAAAATATATAGAGATTTTTTGATAATACTACAATAACAATAATATTGTAAATAACTAATTTTGAGCCAGTAAATATCTGGTTGACCCTCCAACATAGTGGGTGGCAGTACTGCACCTTAGCACTTGTTGCCACTAGTCATAAAACATCATTTGTGGTTACTACTGTACTGCCACACAAAATCATATCTGATGGCAGATGATAGCAAAACATTCTACCCGCACTCCAAAAAATGTAGCTCGCCACTGTGAGAGTTTTTTTAATTCTGTAAAAAAGACAGGGTGTTGCAGGAAGTGCTTTTGTACAGTTATGGTTACAAACTCACTCTCTGCCTCCCTACACTCTATTTGTGATTCAATGGCCAAAAAAAAGGAAAACATGAAATAAACACAGTTAAAGATGAATTTCACAGATAGCATTATTATTTCTTCACAATTTGTATAGATATCACAACAATATCCTTATTGTGAATTATTTTAGCCAGGATAATTGTGTAGAGAAAATCTGATATAGGTGACAGCCTTAGTTCAAAATAACATTGGATCCAACTGACTTTCATTGTGTGGACAACATTTTTTTAAATATGTATTGTGTGTGTTACACAGAAGAAAGAAAGTCGAAAGGTTTGGAACCAAACTGTCTGCCCATATTTACAAACTTTCCTAAACGTAACAGATTTTTTAGTTAAAATGGAACTGGTTATTTTTAAGAACTTGTTCTTGATTCTCAAACCTACTTTTGGGGTTAAACTATGCTATCAAATGTTAGTTGTCTCAGTTGTCTCTCTCAGACCTTTGCTTTTCATACCTGCCTGCTCTTTTTCTCTCCTGCTCCCTCCAAACACTGAGGCTCTTTGTGTCACTATGCTGGGTTGGAAATTTGGAATACTCCTCTTTGTCCAGCCCAGCATTCCTCACATATCTGTGTATCCTCTAGTCCAGAGAAGAGTGATCTAATCGAAACAGGAGGCAGTTATGGGGAGAGAAGCCATGCAGGCTGGCTCAGGTCCAGTGTCTCTTCTGTCTTTCAATATGGAAGTTGGTAGTTGTGTCTCAATGACTTATTTTGACTGCCTATAGGGAATAACATGGATGACAATGTAAGCATTTCTTTGTGCAATTGAGACTGTGCTTATAACTAAAAGTGCATGACTCTCAAAAACAATCGGTGGGAAACTGAATTGTGAAAAAAAACATGACCCAGAGGCTCGACAGCACAAAACACAAGCTTGCTTTGAAACTGTATTGAGGTACAATGGTATTAGCCAACAAAAATAGCCCTGTATTACATGACTCTTTAAAACTTAACAGCTCCTGACTAATGTATGAGGTTGAATGTCTCAGATTTGAGGGACACGTTTACAATTTATGTCAAGTTTCGGCTTACAATCAGGGTTAGGTGCTTCTACATCAGTGTTATTCACCTATCCTTTCCCTCTGATTTTAAAGATAACTAATGGGTCAATTTAGAGGTAGGGATAGGGTTAGGCCTACATTTTCAGGCATGTTGTTCCAGGATCAACAAAATATATGTGTACTAGTAATTATTAGTTGAAGGTGGCACTGACATGGTTTATGCTAAAACCAGGATTCCTCACCAAATGTGTCTTCCTCAGGCTCGGGGACCAGTTCTACAGGGAGGCCATTGAGCACTGCCGCAGCTACAATGCCCGCTTGTGTGCGGAGCGCAGCGTACGCATGCCATTCCTGGACTCTCAGACGGGCGTAGCTCAGAACAACTGTTACATCTGGATGGAGAAGCGGCACCGAGGGCCAGGTAGCACACTCTACAAGCATAAAATTCATTTGATTAAAGAGTTCATACAAAATGTTCATTATTTATATCCCTACGTGATGTTCCAAACATGTATGCTGTTATTTTGTCTGTGGAACAGAGAAGGAACATTTTGTAAAAATCTTTACAGTGGTCTTTTCAATACGGTGACAGTAAAAAAAAAGTGAATCAATCAGTGAATAAAAGTGCTCATATAATCCTATAAGTAAAATATAATATTATGTTATAATGTTTATTCATATTCATATTATTTATTTAATAAAATGTATTGTAAATGTACAATACAGTACAATTGTAAATTATATACAAGGCTTATATATAAATATTACAATATTATATAATAGTATAATGATTGTATATAAACCGTATGTATGATTTTTGCTATAATAAATAAATTAGGATTCTTCAAAATATCAAATCAAATATTATGCTTCACAGAAGAAAGTCAGTTATATGAGACTGGGATGAAATGAGGGTGAGTAAATTATATTTTAGGTGAACTATCCTTTTAATGAAGAGATGGGGTGTTCTAGCATAAATGAGCGATATTTAGCTTATATTGCAATAGGGCTGGGCGATATGGCCCAAAAAAATTATCACGATATTTTTTTTTATATCAGTCGATATCGATAATTATCACGATAAATGTCAAATCTTTATTTCTTTCAAGTTTAAAGGCAGATTTTTGCTCCTAAGTGAAGGTTGTATAAACCAGAGCGTTAATTGTGGTTTTAACTCTTTATTGTCAGAACATATCATGACAAACACTTGCCAAACAGGTGAACTTTTCACAAATCTGAGGTAGAGCATTCAAACATTTGTCATTTTTCCTTAACTAAATTAATATCTGAATAGAAAAATATTTCTTCAGCACAGTTTGCAGTGCATGCTGCAATATTCAAATTACATGTTTTGTCTCGAAATGCATATTTGACAGTGAGTTGACAGTAAATCTGCATCCTAACTCAAGCTAATACTACTCTGTTAAATGTATTAACAAAAACAGTAACATCTGTTTAAAAAAATTATAATAATTTGACGACCACATTTTTATTTGGTAAAATGTAGCCTAATATTCTGACTGTTTGAGTTTTATTAAAATTAACCATTAGTCATCCAGTATCATGCATTTAGATCATGATAACCACAGATAAAACCAGGCATAGCCTATAACTTAGCACCTCACTATCATGGCAAAATGTAACTTTATGGTTTCTATGGTATTTTTATGAAAAACAGTAGCCTAACAGTTAAATACATTATTAAATACTATAATTATATTCCATTAGTCATTTAATACATTGTCTACATTAATAATATTATACAATTCAATATGTATCCCACACTTCATGGTGCAGTTAATATTACTAGGCTAACCTTACAGTAAATCCAAGGTAGGCTAAATGGATTCAGTATCAATTCAGATTCTGCGCGCAGTGTTTCTCCTGTTTGTCAGCGCTGTTTCATCTGCCTTTAAACATTTGTGTTCTTCGCTGAACTCAAGCGCTTCTCTATGGCGTTATTATCCTGTCCAATGTCGAGAGCGCATTATTGTAGCGCGAAAGTACATTAATATTATGCGCGAGCGTGAATCTCTCTGCTCGCGCGCGGAATATGATGTGCCGAGCGTGAATCCCTCTGCTCGCGCGCGGAATATGATATGCACAGCGCGAATCTCTCTGCTCGCGCGCGGGAACTGGGCGCGCGCTCTCAGATACACTTCTCTTGTAAGAATTCTCTCTCTGGGCTGAGTGGGCTCGCTGCCTCGCTCAGAGAATATGCCTGCACTTAAAACGTGTTCAGTGCAATCGCGAATTGCTCCTCTTCCCCAGCTAACAATTTTAGGTTATAAGAACGTTTTCATAACGTTCCCATTAAGTTATAAAAACGTTATTTCTGAATGTTCTAGGGAATTTCAAAAAGTCCAGTTTTTTAGACGTTGTATTAACGTTATTTCTTGGTTATAAGACCGTTCAATTCTCCCGTTATGTAAACGTTGTATTAATGTTATTTCCTAGTTATAATAACGTTAGAACGTTCAATTCTCCCTTTATATAAACGTTGTATGTATTAACGTTCTTGCTTGGTTATAAGAACGTTATTCAAACGTTCAATTCTCCCATTATATAAACGTTCTCTTAATGTTTTTCTAAGATAATGAAAAACGTTTCATTCATAACAAGGTAGCCTATATAATAGGCCTATATGAAGAACCTAAAACAAGAACTTTCAGATTTTAAAATTAAGACAAAAATAAATAAAAAAAGACCCATGAATCATGTCTATAATATGTGTAATGTAGTCCACTGAAGTCGAGTTGAATTGAACCCAAGTAGGCCTATAGTTTATTCCAATAAACCGATTTGGGTTGAAGTGACCATATGAAATTAACATAAACATAAACTTGGAAATTGTTGTAAAAATGAGCTATATAAATTAAATTAACTTTAACTTGTGGATGTCATTGGTTGTTTTTGGTCATAATCCTTGTCCTTGTGTTCCCATTGTCTCTTGTCTAGCTTTGTTCCCTGTACCATTGTTGGTGATTCTATGTTTAGTCCAAGTTTATGTTCATGTTAATTTCATATGGTCACTTCAACCCTAATCGGTTTACTGGAATAAACTATAGGCCTACTTGGGTTCAATTCAACTCGACTTCAGTGGAGTAGGCTATTACACATATTATAGACATGATTCATGGGTCTTTTTTTATTTTTATTTTAGGTTCTTCATATAGGCTAGGCCTATTATATAGGCTACCTTGTTATATAAAAAAACATTAAGAAAGGTTTTAATAATTATTAAAACATTTCTTAATGTTTTTTTTATTGAATGAAACGTTTTTCATTATCTTAGAAAAACATTAAGAGAAGGTTTATATAATGGGAGAATTGAACGTTTGAATAACGTTCTTATAACCAAACAAGAACGTTAATACAACGTTTATATAAAGGGAGAATTGAACGTTCTAACGTTATTATAACCAGGAAATAACATTAATACAACGTTTACATAACGGGAGAATTGAACTTTTTTTATAACCAAGAAATAACGTTAATACAACGTCTAAAAAACTGGACTTTTTGAAATTCCCTAGAACATTCAGAAATAAATAACGTTTTTATAACTTAATGGGAACGTTATGAAAACGTTCTTATAACCTAAAATTGTTAGCTGGGGAAGAGGAGCAATTCGCGATTGCACTGAACACGTTTTAAGTGCAGGCATATTCTCTGAGCGAGGCAGCGAGCCCACTCAGCCCAGAGAGAGAATTCTTACAAGAGAAGTGTATCTGAGAGCGCGCGCCCAGTTCCCGCGCGCGAGCAGAGAGATTCGCGCTGTGCATATCATATTCCGCGCGCGAGCAGAGGGATTCACGCTCGGCACGTCATATTCCGCGCGCGAGCAGAGAGATTCACGCTCGCGCATAATATTAATGTACTTTCGCGCTACAATAATGCGCTCTCGACATTGGACAGGATAATAACGCCATACTTCTCTCATTGAATCTCGTGACCGAGGCCGATCAGAGTAAACGCGTCTGCTCTACTCGCGCGCGCTGCCGTTTGGACTTTGAGCCGAGCGGATAAACAGTCCGTGAGCGCGCGCGGTTCAAATGAGTTTCGTTCCGCTTTTGCATAAACATTATCGAACATTTATCGACCTCTTGATATCGTTTTATCGAGAAAAATTATATCGCGATAATTATTGTTATCGTTTTATCGCCCAGCCCTATATTGCAATGTGTTAATGTGCATTAAATGAACTACACACTGGATGTAAACTGGTGTCATCTGGAGATGCCATCATGTAACCAAATGTTTAAAATGGTGTCGTATCCAGTCGTTCCACAATTTTTTTATCTCACCGCAGGCATTTGGATAAGTTGGACTTTGGCACTGTACACATTCATCTAAACCTCAATTTTAATTTCACTTAAAAATGCAGCTTGATTTAAGGATAAAGACTGGCACAATTTGTTTTAAAGCAGATGGCACAGGGATTGCAAATAATACGTGTTGATGAGCGTTTATACAGTGTTCTAGTGTTTAGGAAATTGTAGGTTTCCGCTTGTCACATGTTAAACAATGAAATAGAATATTCAATGTAATGAGGCAGAAGTATGCATTAGGGTTCTGTCTCTAGTCACACAGCATTCCTTTTCTTATTATCTAACCAAAACAGCCAATATCTAAACATACAGATGCCAAAGGGAACAATATGCCTGCCGAGAACCGGACACAAATAGAGTCAGCGTCTCGCAACTAAAAGCTCCATAGCCACACCCTACACTTTGTGGTAGACCAGTGTTTATTGCATGTTTTTTATTCTGGGTTTCTCTCTCTCTCGATTCCTCTATATTACCGTTAGGAGACTGGACAGATGCATAACTGAGACCATGTGCCTCACATATGTAAATGCATTATGTGTTATGGGTCAATCAGAGAGAATGACTCTGTCAACACCCCTGATGCCAGTGTTTTTGTTTTAAGATGTTTCATTAAAATTCTTGTGTCTGAATCCCTGTCCGGAAAAGATTAGTTTTGTGTTTCTCAGGATGATACCTGTAAAATGAAATTTGTATGGCTTTTCTCGCTGTCAAAAAACGTGTTTGAATGACAATTTACCTACAGCAAGCAAACCATCATCCTATGTATGCATGATTTTTTTTTTTTTTTTTTTTTGCTATACGTTGATGGGTAGATTTTAGTCTTTCTCGTTATAAAAAATATCCACAAAATCTGGCATGCCGTTAAACCACAAATAAACTAGTATTTGTAAATGTATAAAATACACATTTACATACACTGTCATTCAAAAGTTTTGGATCAGCAAGATTTTTTTTCTTTTAGGATGCATTAAATTAAAAAAAGTGACAGTAAAGACATGTATAATTTTACTAAAGATTTCTATTTCAAATCAAATCTGTTCATGCTTTCCACAAAATTATTTGGCACATTTATTTAGCACCCGAGCCACTTTATTCAAATACAGAACAGCAAAAAAGTTACCAGAAGCACCACAAATCATAACTGTACAACACTGCAGGACAAGCTTCGCACAGACAGCCTTTTCTGTTAAGAGCTGTAAGCTCTGGAATTCGTTACCATCTGACATTAAGACTATATCTGACTCAAAAGTTGTGGCTAAAGACAAACCAAAACTGTAGCCATTTTAAATGGCTTTTAAATGGCTAAATATTGTCAGTGAGTGAGTGAGTGTATGTTTGAAGAAATGTGAATGTTTTATACTTGTATGTATCTGTTTTACAATGTACTTAGAAAAGCCCAACCAGGGACAGGAGTTGAAAATTAGCATTAGCTATAAACTCTTTATGTGGCGCATCAGTTGCAGGATTTGTATTGTAACTATGTTTGACTGCATTGTCCCTGTTAAATAAATAAACAAATAAAATAGAATAAAAATTAAGCATACAGCCATTTTCAACATGGATAATGATAAGAAATGTAAATCAGCATATTAGAATGATTTCTGAAGGATCATGTGACACTGAAGACTGGAGTAATGATGCTGAAAATTCAGCTTTGCCATCACAGGAATAAATTATATTTAAATTACATTAAAATATATTGAAATAGAAAGCAGTAACTTTAAACTGTAATAATATTTTACAATATGCTGTTTTTATTGTATTTTTTTTATCCAATAAAATGTAGCCTTGGTGAGCATCAGAAACTACTTTCAAAAACATTACTTCTTGAACAGTAGTGTACATTTTGTTAAAATGGCCCATTTCAAAAGTTTATCCACAAATATCCTGTTATTGATCATAACCTAAACATTCTGTACAAAACGAATCCCGTCCAAAGAATGTTTTTGTAAAGAATGTGTGTAAGAGCCTATTCAAAGTCAAACCATGCTACTTTCTGTGTTTGCAGGGTTGGCGGCAGGTCAGATGTACACCTACCCAGCGCGTTGCTGGAGAAAGAAGAGGCGACTTCACCCACCACTAGACCCGCAGCTTCGCCTTTGTGAACTCAGACTTGGTGAGATCATGATTGCGGCTAATTGTGTAATTTTTCTCATGCTTACATTTTGATTTTGAATTCTTTATTTCTTCTCTTTTCTCTCTCCGCCCTTGCTTCTTTGCTCTGAGGTCATTCAGAGGCTGTAGAACTGGCCCATCTGGGTCTCATTATCCTTCTCTGTCTCTATGTGTGCCCTGATCAGGCCCCTTTAATCATTTGGCCATGCAGCATTAGAATGTAAGTCTAGGGGACTGGTGTGGGTGTGGGTGTGTGTGTGGGGGGGGAGGCTACAGAAGGGCTTGAGGAACTAGATAAAGGCCTGTCTGTATCAACAAGAAAGCCACTCTATTATTTTCTTAGCTGTCCCTGAAAATACAATAGCAGTAAAGCAATACATGAACCACTGACCTTCGCTTGGAGCTCAGCCAGCAATTCAGCAAAAAAAAAGTGAATATAACTGATTTAGGCATCAAGTTGTGTGTGATCCGTTTCCAATAATGCAGATATCAGGATTTGAATGACAGAGCTAACTCCTACAAAGTGTAACGCTGGAACAGCAATTAAGCCCCTCCAAAACTCCTCTCAAGTCACATGACTGCTATCCTTACACATTTGGCATCATGAATATATATATATATATATATATATGATGCATTGTAGTCTATTCTGATAGCATAGTTCACCCAAAATTAAAGTTCTGTCATTATTTACACCCTCACATTGTTCAGTTCCTATTTGACTTTCTTCTGTGTTCCTGCTGAATACAAGTATTAATTTCTTCTACAAACAAAACTAAATTTTACTGACCCCAAACTTTTGAACCATAGTGTACTTGTTTGCAATTAATGCAGTTTTTGGGACTGGAGCTTTGAAGCAAAAAAAAAAAAAAAAAAGATGTAAAAGCACCATAAACTATTCTATACACTGTATTCAATGTTGCATAGTAGAAAGAACGTCAAACAGGTTTGGACAATCAACATGAAGAAAAGTAAATAATGACATAATCTTCATTTTTGAGTAAACTATCCCTCTAAGTTATGTGTTTTCCAGAGTCCTGGAATTGTAATATTTACGCGTATAGAGAGGCATAATTCTGGTCTGTTACAGGCAGCAGGGCATCCTGTCTGAAATATGTTTGTGTTGTACATTTCTGGGTGCTCAGCCACTGTAAACAGGTTTGGTGTCCAATATCCCATCCAAGTCTGGTTCATGATGACAAGCAAGCAAGTGTGATTCCAATGTAAATCTTCATATGCAGTCTTTTTCTCCACAGCAGATGTGGCATGTAGAACAGTCTCTAATTCAATAAACTGATTCAATTAGGCTAACAACACAAAATAGCTGCATCTTAGTAAACTGATATATTCATTAGTCTCTGCATTTGCCATTTGAAACAGGCTCCTCTGAGTTATCGTGCTGAATTCTTAATTAAAAGCAGTACATGCTCTTTCCAGTTAGTGCAAGCTTTTTCTGTGCCAATGGCATGCATACATATCACAGTATCACTGCATTATATTGCGATGATTAAAACCTTATGATTTGTGTCTGTAGACATCAACCTCTCTTAGCCTCTTGTCATGATTGGCGGCTGGAAACGGGGGATGGGAGGCTGCAATCAGCCCCTGACTGGCAGTCTGCGCTATTTTCAGCTCCTCTCCCAGGGGAAGAGTGTGTCTCGACTCAATCAGACACAAAGAGAATAAAGACAAGGACAGAGATTCATATAAACATTCTCAATCATGTTCATACATTTAACAGGTTAAAGGAAAGGAGTAAGAACATCTGGGGGCAACACATGATAGGGCCACTGCTTGTGGGAGCAGGTTATAGATCAGAAAACAATTAAAATGATGTGTCAGATCTAAGGGTGTATTTCTTTCAGCTCCCTAGGTCACTAGTAGTGCATTAGTAAGTGCACTTTCCAGGGAGTCGGACATTTAACTAAGGTTTACAGAACTAAGGCTGCCCATGGTTCCACTGCACTGAAACATTCCCTCCCTACCTAGAAATTCGCAGAATGCACTGAAACAACCCCTGAACATCAGTTGAATAGGGAAAGCTTGTAAGCCAGTAAAAAGGTATTAGAGTTATTAAAAAAAGACTAAAGATTAACATATATTTTTTGGTTCTTAAACACTACTGTTTAAAAGTGTGAGGTCAGATTTATTTCCAATTAATACTTTATTCAGCAAGGGTGCATTAAATGACCATAAAGACATGTATAATGTTGCATAAAGATTTCCTTTTGACATTTTAATTAATCAAATAATCCTAAAAAAAAATATATATATTTCCACAGAAATATTAAGCAGCACAACCATTGTCAACTATGATAATAATAAGAGATGTTTCTTGAGCAGCAAATCAGCATATTAGAATGATTTCTGAAGGATCACGTGACACTGAAGACTGCTATTGACTGCTGAAAATTGCCATCACAAAGGAAACTTATAATATTATATGTATTAATAATTCTATTTTTACTGTATCTTTGATCAAATGCAGGCCTCATGTTGTGCATTAGAGACTTCTTTCAAAAACATTAAAAAAAATCGTACTGACCCCGAACCGACTCCAGTTGTATATTTTGTTGTGAGGTATTGATATTTAAATTGTAAGCTTTTTGTGCCTAGCTTTATTATATTTGTTTAGTGTATGAAAGTTATTATATATGTACATAATCTGTTTTTCTTTATTAAAAAATGCAAAACAAGCACATATTTCTTAATGGCACTGTACATTTTAACTTCTAACAGCAAATGCATATACAGCATTTTCAATTTCAGCTACGTGTGAATGGATGACCTTGAGTCATGACTCATAAGTGTCCCAATGTTTAGTGGATCCTGGCCCCTGCTAGTGCCCATTAGGATTCAAGAAATACCGATTCATGTCATAAAGATCTAGGGAGTGAAATGAGACACAGCCAATGACTATTTATTTTCTTGCCTTCTCCTCCACTCACACACATCCTTTATTTTATCTTCAACACCTGGAGCTTTTCAACTTTAATGAGCCTTGAAAAGCTATCCACGCTATAAAAATGTATTGATGGCTGGTGTATCCAAGAAAGCTATCCAAACTGATGTTGGCAAACACACACACACATGCATCTGTCTGCCTGTGTGAAGCTAATTCATGAAGTTTATTCAGACTATTGATTTAATTCACTGTCTGTGTCTCCAGATGATTGTACTTCCTTTTTAGGTATAAAATGGGGTAAAAAATCTGAGAACAAATCTGGGACTTTAATTTGGGGTTTTATTTAAACCTGGAAATAAACAAAGATTTGAAAATATAGAAATACATAACGCAAAATAGAAACATTTTCACTAGTGGCCATTTTCACTGGTGGATTTTTTTCTACTGGCTGACCACCTGACACCCCGTTTTCTGCTTCTTTCTTTCTCGTTTAGAGGCTGAGCTAATGGCCAAGAGGGAAGCCCCACCGACGGAAGCCACGGCCCTGGAGGCACTGCTACGAGGTGACGGGATCTTGGAGAAGAGAAACAATAACTCGAAAGAGGAAGAGACACTACTGGAAATCCAGGTAACACATCGACAGTCATTTCAAATGCCGCCCATTCACTACATGGCTTCCAAAGTCGTTGGATTGCTGTTCTTTACACACTACACAACTGTATATAGTTACCAATGTCAGTTCCAGTCAAAACACTACAGGACTTGGATCGCTGTCAGGTCTCTTGGATCTCTTGAACATCTGCGACGCATCTGTTCTCTTCTCAGATCCCGTCATTGATAATTCAAAGCATTAATTTGCCTCTTGTTGTTGACCTCCATCAACTGATGGCAAAAATCAAGGCAAAAGTAGTTTGTATGTGTGGGTGGCTTAAGGTACAGGTTGTAGCTCTGTTCTAAAAGATTCACAGACAGCACGGGAAAAAACAACAACAAAATACAAATAATAAAATGTAACCATATAATCATGAATAGTAAATAAGCTGTTTCTCTCAAGCCATGGAAAGCTTCTTCACTAGCTGCATTACTGTATGGTACAGAAGCGCTACCAAACCAGACAGAGATGGTCTGAAAAGGTTTGAGGCAAGGGCGCAGAAGATTATAAGATGCAATCTACCATCAATCAGTGATATCCACCATTCACTGTCACTGTAGAGTCCAATCCATCACCTGAGACCTCAGCCACAAGCTGTTTTGTTTCCTACCTTCTGGCAAACAATACCATACTATTAGGGCAAGGACCACTAGACTTGACAGGGCACAAATTGCAGCATGCTTTCTACACAATGCACTGCACATTACTATATATCTACTCAATATCACACGAGCGAGAGTGTTGCTCCTGAATATCATTCAGAAAAAACGCACAATTGCGAGTGTGATCTTGGTTCCATAACAACAGTTGAATAAACAAGTTAATATTAAGTTTGACTTACATTTTAGACCCAATTTTGCCAGTAACTTTTTCAGTTTATGCATCCAAATGATGCCACAGATAAAACAACCCTCGCATTTCCAAGCAACATACAGTAGATGGCGTTTTGTTCCTGAATGGATAAGTCTCTTTGAACTAATCGGTTGAATAAATGATTCAATGACTCACTCATAAAAACAGGCTTTTGTTTCATTCCTGAATGAATCGACATCTTTTAACAAATCAGTTAAATGAATGATTAAATGACTTATTCATAAAAATAGTAGTATTCATAATAATAATAACTTGTATTATTCAAAGATCACTCATAAAACAGTTGCTTGTTTTATTCTTGACTGAATCAGCATCTTTGAACAGATCGATTGAATGACCAATACATTGACTCATACAAACAGTCACTTGTTTTGTTCCTAAATGGATCAGCATCTTTGAATGAATTCGTTGAATAAACGAGTCATTGGCTCACTCATAAAGAATGGAGGACGAGAAATAACTGTTGTACAATTACACATACTTTGAGTTCAAATTGATAAACTTGCAAATTGATTAACATTTGTAGTGTCTCTTGTACTATGTCTCATTTTCTGTTTTTGCTACTACAAAGTGTACGGCAATAAAGTTCTCCACCATCTCTCTGAATATGTGGACTATTGTATTTTCTTGTGCAGTGCATTGATCTTTGTCATCTAATCGCTTACCCCAACTTTCTTCATTCTCTGCAGAGGGTGCTTGATGCAGACGAAAATGGGGATGGTTTCCATGACGATGAGGATTTTGAAGTGGACACACCAAAGAGGAAGCATCGAAACAAAGGCAGGGTGAGTGATGAGCATGACTCATCAAAGTCTGTGGATGGTGTGAAGGAAAAAAGGCAAGTGAGAGCAAGAAATAAATGGAGGATTGACGCCAGAGAGAGAAATAAAACAAGAGAGAGAAATATCTGACTTATGGTGTGTGCAGAGACAGAGAAAAGATAAAGAAATGAGAAATGATATAAATAGTGATTATGTCATCATGTAAAAAGTGATTATGTGTTTTTTTAATATGTTGATCAGGGTCGAGGCTCTGGGCGCAGGCGAACAGAAGCAGCGGCCAATGACGATCAGGATAAACCCTACGTTTGTGACAGTAAGTGTCAATTTCATCACTTTCATATTCAATGTGTGCCTTAAAGTCAAAGAAACCTGAAATACAGTATATATATATATATATATATATACATTCGAACTTCAATAGAAAAACTAATTAGGAAAAATCGAATTTGTAACCTAAACCACCATTATGCATTCGAGTCCAAAAGTCTGCTTAGAAAATGTGATATTGAAAATCTAATTCGAAATAAACAATGTATTCGAATTTAGAAACATTTTAAATCTAACATTAAAATGAATACAAATATTTATGATTCTGCACTAATCAAATAAGCTAATTTGTGACACTTTGTGACATTCTTTTTTCCCCCCAAATTGTTATTGTTGAATATAATTACAAATATATTTTTTATTTTTATTAAATTATGAAAAGCAATATATTAGTGCAGTATATACATGAATCGAACTTAGTAGAAGTGTATAACAGTAGTATTTATTTTTCATTTCACTCTGTTGTCTGTGTTAATCAAGAGATTTGAACTATTTTGACTCTACTGCTGTTTGGCTGTCTTATTTTTGGGGTCCTGAAAAAAGTCTTCCATTTTGTCATATGGTACCTGCCTGTGTTTCTCATCTTGGCATGGTCGCCTGTTATAATATATCAAGAGCATGTGACTTCCAGAGGAGATACTAGAGCTACTTTGGGTTCCAGAGGCCTCTCTGAATGTAACTTACTTCCTGTATTTTGTTTTCTGTCTCCTCTTTTGCTTTGTGTCTCCTCTGTTTCAGACAGATACAAACAAAAGCATAACTCAAAAACTGCTGACTCAGGTATTCAGCCATGTTGCCATCTTCCTCTTGCTCGGACATATGGGCTATGCTAATGACAAGGCTAATCATTTAATGCTTATGTCGGGGAGGAATTATTAACATTAATCAGCTGGTTCAGTCTTTTTCTCTGTAGCTGCTGTTGATATTTCACGCCGCTTGGTCAAAGCTATCATGCATGGCTAACAACACTGCTGCTAAAATAGCAAAGCTTGAACACCTAGCCTTTTCATTGCTGAATCTAGATTTGCAGGCCCTGTTCTAGGCAATCCACTGCATTGCTGGAATGATTGACTCTGGATGTGCCGTTTTCTGAAACGAAATGCATGTTGTCGCTTCCCTTTTCTGGCTTAATGGTCTGTACAAAAATAAGGTCTGTTACCTTATGGTCTGTCATTTTTGACAACAATTTATCCCTATAAAGAACTTAAAAGCACTTTAAACAAAAATGATTACAGTGATATACAATCACATTAGATGAAGACATATGCAATTAAAGAATATACTTAAGTGAACTGAATGTAATGCTATTGGACACTGAATTGCACATTAACTGCAATCAAATTAAAATATATGAAAGTTTTATAATTGTATGTGCTTAAAATATGTGCTTTAGTATGTTAGTCATTTAAGCATAAATGTAACAATGACGCTAAAAGACAACCTAAAAACAGCACTGAAAAGCATTTAACTGTAATACAATTTACTTCAGAGTAAAATAAGCGATCATCAGGAAAAACTGTGGGGTGGGATTTCACCCTGTCCACTGGATTGGGCCAGCCGGATTGATTGGACAGGCTTTTAGTATTAGTTCATATTAATATTCTCAGCCAGCTTGGTTACATAAACAGAAAAAAGAAAAAATAACATTATTACATTTCCCCCCTTTAAAATCAAACATACACCCCTCTTTGAGGTTGAGCAGGAAAAACTATATAGAAAATGTAATGGTTTGTGGTTGTCTTTAAAAATCAAAGAAAAATATCAGTTTCTTTCTTAGTTTCATAGTTCTTTAGATACTGTACATCTTGCTTTCCTCCTGTATGGTTTGGTCATCCCTTTTTTATAGATTTGAAGTGAGAGAATTTATTACTGTGAAAATATTGTGCTTACCTTGCTGGTATTGCAGTCTGCAACCCACAGATGCTTGACATGTTTACTGCATCTTTTCTGTGCTGAGGTTTACATAATATGACAACAAAAGCCAACATTTTCAATAACAGCAAGCCATTTGTTTTCTCTCTATCCATTACACACTTCAATGCTATGCTATGGTTATGTGATATATCCCATGTCTGTAAACTAATAAGCATTTTAGGGATGCACCGATACCAGTATCGGGCCGATACTGAGTTTATGTACTCATGAAAATGCTCCGATACCAACAACCGATACCAGGCAGCAGCGTGTGTACACTTGTGTCCAGACAAAGAAACACTGACAACAGAGAGTATAATGGGGATAAAAAAGAAGGCTGTCTATGAAGTAAATGTTATTGTTATTAGTGGAATATTAAACGAAATATAGTAACACATAGGCATAGCTGTGGTGCGCGAGCTGATAAGAGAAACACTAGCAGTGGATTGAGCGCGCAGTATATTCAAATGAGGTCCGTGCGTTCGGTCTTAAAGGGGCAGCAGTCTTATAAACCTGCTGCTGTGTTTTAATGTTAATCAAACAAAGGAGAAATAAATTACTCACTGCTCTTGACTAAATAGGCTACCTTTTGTAACTTTACAAAAAGATCCATCTATATTTAATTTATATGCATATGTGGGTATGCAGAGTTTTTTCACATTTGATTGATTACTGTAGTTTTTGTTGTAGTATCAAAATTGGAATAAAGAATTAATATTTCACTGGTGTCTAAATATTTGTACCACTGACCCAATCCTCAGCACTGAGCCCTTCTGGAGCTGCTCTAAATATGCTGTGCTATTAAATGAAAGATAAAATATGAAAGAGCAATAGAATGAAGAGTGAAAGTAACAGAAGCTCATACAATGCATTTTAGCAGTCTTAAGCATAGAAAAAATAGAAAAGAACCACCGCTCATCCGTCAAAAAAGTCTTGTAGAGAGGTGCTGCTACATTAAATCATCATGGAAAATTGTAAAAATACAGCAGCCGCACACTCAAACACTGTGCAAGATCAATTTATTAGCAAGCTTTCGGTCTTGCGACCTTCTTCAGGCAGTCTTAAGCATGAAAATAACTGAAGGAAATATGTATTTGATGAACAAATTAAGCCAACTAATATGATTTATATTATTTTGGTTTCTCTACCAATACATTTAAAAATCACAAATGCAGTGAAAATACAGGTATCGGTTATACGGTATCGGCGAGTACCAAAAATTAAAGTATCGGTATCGGACTCGTTCTGGAAAAAGTGGTATCGGTGCATCCCTATCAACATGTGTTTTCAGTGATTGGATCACCGTCGGATAGCACTTGACCACATTAAAAACTAAACATAAATGCACCTAAAATTTATCAGACAGATTCTGACCACATTCAACAAAGGTGCCATTCAATATACAAGTAATATAGCTTTGTTCTAAAAAGGTCACTTCACCTATTATACTCCTTGAACTCTTGCAATTTACTGGTCGACGCCTTTAGGAGTACCTATAGGTGTTCATGAAGACATACTGTGGGGTTGCAGTGCTAATACTGTGCCTAAAACACCCCGCATGTCTCTCTCACTGGCTGAGAACATGCGTTGTAGATTTTGTGGTAGAGCTTTGATTCCACTGCTAGTTGCTTTGTGAATTCCTTAGATATGTGTTAGTGTCCCTGCTTGATTATTAGAATAACTTTGAGACTAAATAGTAAATGAGAAGTGTTTGCCACTAAAATGGATCTCATTGTAACCAATGCTCTTTATCTTAGTCTGTGGGAAGCGTTACAAAAACCGCCCTGGACTAAGCTACCATTATGCCCATACTCACCTTGCTGAAGAGGAGGGTGAAGAAGAACGAGAAACTGAAATCCCCCAGTCTCCTCCTGTCCACCATGAGAATCACAAACGTAAGTTAATATTTTTTTTTTAAATGTAAAATAAATGTTTTAATATCTAAGCTTCTGTTGTTCCAACACCCAACATACCATGTAGCCATTAGATCAGTTACCATGTAGCCATTAGTTCAGCACATTGCTGTTTTTAAGCCGATTTTAGGTATTCTGCTTTGTGTTGTGCCAAAAAAAGATATCTTAATATCAGCAAGAAATGGGAATTCACCTAAATTAATCTTAAAGGGATAGTTCACCCAAAAATAAAAATTCTTTCTTTAATTACTCATCCTCATGTCATTCCAAACCCCTAAGATTTCCGCTCATCTTCGTTCATGCTTGACACGCGAGAACAAACCTCTTGCTGACGCTCAAACGTCGTAACACGAGAATGAACCTCATTGGTTCTCACACGTCAAGCGAACAAGCTTGAGCTATCCTTTTAATAATCTTATTGTGAACAATTCATCCATGCGTATGTTTCCTTAAAAACATTTTTTTAACCTCGGAATTTTAAATAAAAAATTGTCATGTCTGTTGTTGCGGTGGAACTTTCTTTTTTTCTCTGGTGGCGTATTCCAGACATCATTTAGGCCATGTGTCCACCAAAGTGTTTTTTCCTAAGGCCAGCATATTTTTTCAGTTGTTTTCAATGGGAGCACCGCCTATTTAAAAAGGACAGCAGCGTGGCATGGTGCTGCACGTCTATGGTCCTGTCCCAACTGGCACACTTCGTGTGTACTTGTGGTCTTGTGGACTTACAATGGCTGTGGCTGATATGCACCCTCGATGCACACTTTTCCAACGAGCTCCGCAGCAGACCTATACCTGACGGCCAAAGTGGCATTACGTCATGAAAGTGTGGACTCGCGAGGGCTTAGGGTTCCATTTGGGACAGGGCCTATTTCACGCTGTTTTTTGTTCAAAATGTTCAACCTCTCCGACCAACAGCCACATCCTGCTTGTAAAACACCAACAGATAACAACAACAAGCACAACAATGGAAAAAATTATTTAAAACAAGACCAAATACTCAACATTGTATCGACATTTTTATATTCAGAAACATATGTAATACATTACACACAAATATCTATGGAGATATTTCATTTTAATTAGATGGAAATATTTTCTATTGATACTTTTCAATACTAAAATCTTGTCATATTTAACTCTTCCCTTTATTTTAATTTGCACTATTTTTACAGCACAGAAAGGTCCTGATGGCACGATCATCCCTAATGACTACTGTGACTTCTGTCTGGGAGACTCAGGCTCTAACAGGAAGACAGGCCAGGCTGAGGAGTTGGTTTCCTGTTCAGACTGCGGCCGCTCTGGTGAGTCCATTCACTTCACTGTATTCTCTATTACTCAGTTACAGTTACAGTATCTGCTCATGTTAGATCAAGTAGGGTAGTTTCACCTCCATCTAGCCTTATTCTCACTCTGAGGGAGATTTTTGCTATGGCATAGCCAATAGAAATTTTTAAAAATAAATATTTTTAAAATGTATTGCCAGAACAAACAAACAAACAGTAAGAGCTGTCAAAGACAGTATTCAGAGATTTATCTCTCTCTCTCTGTAATCAGTGTAATGGTGCTCTAAAATGGGCCAGATTACAGTAGGTACAGTATTATTTGGTCAGTAAAACCTTGACTTTGACCACAAATCAGAAGCACATAGATGTTTGTTTTATTGACGTATTAAGTTTAAGTGATGTTAGTGTTCTATTTAAAGGAAGCAGAAATGTATGATCATTATACACACATCATTCTTGTTTTTAAGGAATTTTAATGTGAAAAAGGGTTTGAGGGTTTCCACACATACACATTGGACAACAGAAAAAACATTTAGCTTTTATATATACATAGAAATGTCATGCATATAACATTTATATTTTATTTTCTAGAAATTATGATACCAATTATAATAATTATTTTTAATATATTTTTAAGTTGATCTGAAAAAGCTTTAGCACATTCAAATTAAAGCCCATGAAATTTAGTGTATATGTATCCATCAAAAGTAAAATTTAAAATCCCATTTTATCATGCCATGCATCAATAGCACATTTCATCAGCTTGTTTGTGCATATCCCATCTTTTCGTGTTTTTTTGCTAGAGCATGTTTGTCTATTTGTTTTATGGAGTTTCGCTGAGTGTGATTTGGGTTTGGCTTGGCATAACCGTGTAATATTGAAATGATTTCCCAGACACAGATTAATACTATTAGAAAGGCTTCTTAATGGAGAGTTGCCATTAGCAGTGATTTAAAACCAGACTAGGCTTAATCTGTGCCCCGGAAATCAGCACAGTGGGTTCAGAAATATGCAGATTAGTGGTCGACCGATATTGATTTTTTTTATGGCCGATGCGATATCTTAGAGAGCAGGGTGGCCGATATAAAGCCGATATATTTATACTTTATATTTATCCTATTTTACTTAATATTTCATAAATTAGAAATAAATAATTTGAAATTGAGTTAAAAACTAAATCTATAAAATAAACAGACTTATAAGTTAGATGTAAACTTCTTAATTATGTAATCATATTGCAGTATTTTCACAAATAAAGAAATATGAATAAAACATGAAAATATGAATAGAAATATAATAAGAAAATGAATAAAAAGGAAGTAAACACTGTTACCAACAGGACAATCGGTAATCTGGTAAGTTTGTGCTCACTGGGAATCATATTTTTTAAATAATGACAAAGAAACTCTAATTTTACACACAGCACATATGTGAAACTGTGTGAACACATAGTGAACTGGATATAGTGCAGAATATTTTGAAATTAAGGGTTTAAAGTTTGTCTTTTGTGCGTCACCAGTGAAGCTGAACTCTCCTGTCCACATTCAATTCACACAGACTGACCGACATGCACAGAATACACACGTTTTTATGCAGGCTACAAATGCACACTTCAGAAGATCTCACAGCTGGATTCAACAAAGTCTGCACGGTTTGAGAAATAAAATGTTTATTAGATATTTAAAAATGGCACAAATCAGTCGATATATTGGCCATGGCGATATATATGGGTCGACCACTAATGCAGATTACCACTGCTTTAATACAGTTGTTTATCTGTTGCAGTCTTGGTGTTTATTCGTGAATTCTTGCTCCATTTAGAAACATGTTGTATGAAAAGCAACATGTGAGCAGAGATTGGACAGTATAATTTACTTACTAAATGTAACATAATACAAATATCACAATATACAAGTATTTGACTGCACTTGATAACTTTTGGATTTATCCTGCATGTGACTTGAGAAAATGAATAATTACTATTTGATATTTACTTAAATATATTTTGTGCAACAAAACAACAACAAAAAAATCTTAGCAGTAATATTGAACTTTTATCTTAAAATGTAGAATCATTTAAATAAAATAGAGATAAAATAAATTCATTAATACCGTTATTGTTTATTTGCATTATTTTCTCCTTCTAATATAAAATAGTTCTGCCAAGATTTTGATGCCGTACAAAAAGACATTTCAATAAAAATCATCTATTTGATATTCATTTTCTGCTAAGACTGTTTTGACCATGGCTAGGTCACAGTCGGAAGGAGAAAGCAGGTGCTATTCTGTCAAACTGCTTTCTGAGTGTAATGGGATTCTATTAAAGCAAAAGAAAACATTAAATAATGCCCTTTTGCAAGGCTGATGCCAAAATTATAAAGTCCAAAAGCATCTTACATCAAGGCCGTAACCACCATGGACCCCACCAATATTTGATATTTCTTTATGCTGCCATCCATTATGCATCGCTCTGTTTGTTGTTAGGATGGCAGACAGTTTTAAAAATGTAAATATTTAGGCTGGTCTGACTCAGCGGTCTAACAGCGCTCGTCAATGTCAAAATGGTGACCAATCAGATCAAAGAAGGCGGAGCTTAATGTTCACTGAAGATGAGTGTGAATTCCAACACAATGCTTTTAGTTTTTACAGTGAAAGAGTGCGTGTGTGTTAAGATATAAGTAGCTAAACATAAGACTAATTTAGATTGCTTAGGTCGATTCGAAAAGGTTACAAGGTGGCGGAAAACATTTGCTCTCTGTAATTATTTCCGGTCTTTAAAAAATAATCTTAAAAAGAGAATTTTTTCATGCTTGCATTTAGAATGTGCATTGTGTTTGTAGTGATGAGAATGAACGTTTAAATGTGACTTTTTGTTCATCTCTTCGAGTGCTTGTGTTTTGCGTTTTTTGTTTTACTCTTGCTAGCAAATGGTCCTGGAAGGGTCACATGTATATTTCCTTAAATTATTCAACTCTTAACATACTCAAATTTAACTGTTTAGGGCATTATCAATTATACAAGTTCACATGTACAAAATATTCTCATATTCATTTTGCTCATATGCTTCCATTCTTTGTGTTTTTAGTTTTTTGTTTTTTTTTGGCTGTGTGATCCATTGCCTTCTCATAATCGAATGGTATAGCAAGGACAGGGAGAGACCAAATGATGTATTCTTCAGTAAAACAAAATATTGATAAAAGGTATGGTTCATCCAGAAATGAAAATTCTGTCATTAATTACTCACCTTCACGTTGTTCAAAGCCTGGAAGAAAGAAAGTCATACAGGTTTGGAACAACATTCAGTGAGTAAATAATGACAGAATTTTCATTTTGGGTGAACTCTCCCTTTAAAAGATTTATGATTCACATACAGCTATTAAGGTGCTTTTATCTACAACCAATGATAAGCATACATTCAGGCAATTGCAAGGGCATCAGACATGCAAGCCGTAGTATGAGTAACTGCAAGTACTGCAAGTTGTCCAAGCTCAGAGGAGTGTGAGTCCTAGCTGACTGCAGTGTTACTTGTGTGTGTTTCCACTGTGATGCTGATATGTCCGTCATGCATGTCAGCTGATCGCGTCGCTGGGACCAGGGCGAAGAGGAGGACGGGTGGAGTTCTGGACATGTTCGGCGACACTTCAGAAAGCGAGGCGTCCACCTTTCACGGCTTTGAGGAGGACGACCTGGACGGGCTTCTGTCCGACGACAGCACAGGCTCACCTCAGTACAGATAGACAAAGGAGAAACCTCAAGAAAACAGCTTCAGAGAAACTTTGGGCATGTGTCTGCTGCCTGTTTTTTTCTTTTCCTTTTTTCCTGTTGTTTTGCAGCAGCATGCATAATGGATTCACAACTCCAGACACAAAGTTAACTTCAGGAATTGCTTTCAAAGGACAAAGTTGCAGCCTTTTATAAATTAAGGAATGTTGTTTTTATTGCTTCTCACTTCTGTATACTGAGAGGTGCTAGTTATCGGACAGAGGAGCCATTACTTCTGGACTGTTTGTTTTCCGAAATGGAAAACACTGACGTTCCCAGTGTGTGGACGTTGATTACACATCGCCATGTAAGATAATGTGGAAATTAACTTTAGAAATAGACATTACAGCATTGCAAACCTCAAGGAGGAGAAAATACTCAACATGTGTCTGTAGGTCGGACAGTGAAGAGGGTTTTTACAATATCTCTGGTTAAATACAATATTTGCGAAGAAAGGGATCAGGTGAAGGCAGAAAGGGCTGAGGCCAGGCCCTGATTGGATCCAGAAAGAAGGGAGGACAGTTTGCAGAGAGGTAAGAGCCAGTTGGCATTTAAATGTCCATCTCTCCTCCTTTCTCAGGAAAGCTACAACAACAACAAAAGGACATTTGAAATCAGTTTACTGGAGGATACATGATACTTGGCCTCTCCCTAGTTTTGTTGAGTAAGAAGAAAAAGGACTGACTGATTTTGGAGTAACTCCCCTTTACTATTCAGGAAACAACAGGTACAAGAAGGGGTACAATTGTAGCATATGTGCAATGATTCCCATGAAGGCTTTGTTTTGCAAATAAAATCTGGACCATTCACCTCTGTTAAGAGATCCAGCTCTGAGGATTAACTGTGTATGTGTAACTGCAAATAATACACTGGATTGCAAGCACATAAGCTTCCTACATTCAATGGGAAATGCAGTAAATGTGAACTAGAAAGCAGAATACATGCAATAAATGGCACAATACACATTAGTCACAGGGACATCACCCAGTTAATATGGGGAAATTTCATTGTATTCATTTTGTATGAACAAAATTAGCTATATTCGCTCTTTAAAAGCTCTTCTATTTATTGTTATGGTGAACTCATGTGTCACTTTTCAATTTAAACGGTTGCGAAAAATGTTCCGTATTAATGCTTTCGATCTTGTCTCTATTTCAGGGCCTAATTTTTGAAAACAAAAATATATAATTTATTAAGATATTGTATAATGTATATAAGCCCACAAATTTCTCCCAGTGTTTCGATGTCTAAACTTTGTTTAACATTTGAAGTTAATTTCATTTAATACTAAGCCAAAGGGCAACATGACTAGAGATGATGCTTGTAACTGCTTCTGTGTCATGCAGACCTGTGGCTCAAACCACACAGAACACACTTCATGCAACCTGTCGTCCCTGCTGTGGTCGCTGCTGAGTCCTGTTACTCCAAATGTCAGCCTGCAAGTCTTTCACTGGATTTTGTTACTGAAAACATTAAACATTTTTCATTTTATGAATTACTCTGAGTTCATTTTGTTTCAAGGAAGGGAAACAGGGGACATGTTATATGCAGTGATCTCAAACAGTAATTGAACACTTACAAATGTCTGAATGACACTACATTAGATTTACCCCTGGTTTCACAGACAAGAATCAACTAAAGCTACATCCAGACTAAAATGCATATTTGAGCTGTTTTAACTGAAAGCAACTTGCACTGACCTATCTTAAAATATGTCAGTGCCATTGTTTCGTCTCAAGATGCACACCAGTAATGTTTTTTCTTAAATGAACTATGAACTAAGGCCTAATCCTGGCTTAATCTAAGCCCTGTCTGTGAAACCAGACCATAAAATATCAAACTAATTCTGCAGGTAAATGATCCTAAACCTCATCTCAGAACTAACCACTTTTATGAGCCGTTTTTAACTAGTTTAACAACATGGCGGATGCATGAAGTCAGTTCCCATCAAGTTCAAATGGATGTTTCACTAATGTCTTACAAACAAAAGTGTCACAAAATTGCCTTTATTTCGAATGGTATGTTGTTTTATACATTGAAACCTAGCAAACTTATTTTTGTGAAATGTTTTGTTTGAAAAATGTGTGCCATATTTCTTTAAAATAAATTCCGCTTTCTTGCATTACACAAAGACATTCACACATTTTTGAGTGTTGCTTGTGACCAAATGATTTGGGGCCATTGTTGTTTATAGTTTCAATGCAATTTAGAGCACTCTATCAAAATATTAGACATAAAAAAAATGAGTTAATAAGAATTTTTATAGATCGAATTTTTCATATCTGAATTTTGATGCACATAAGGCATATTTCCATACACTTGCAGGGAATAAATCAAGGCAAAAGATGCATGTTGGCATAATGTACTCAACACAGTTCTGCATACCAGGGACAGATCCACGGAGAGGAACGAGGTACTGTAGCAGCGCTCGTAGGGAAAGAGCTTCACATAACATCCCACTTCAGGCCAAGACCCAACATGCTTTCCAAACTGGGGAAACTGCACATGCTCTACTGAGCATCCAAGCAAGAGGAGCCTGCTGTTCTCACAGTCTCATTGAGGAAATGAGCAGGCCGAGGAAATGACACCTCCCTAGAAGACAGACAGAGAGAGAGAGAGAGAGAGAGAGAGAGAGAGAGAGAGAGAGAGAGAGAGAGAGAGAGAGAGAGAGAGAGAGAGAGAGAGAGAGAGAGAGAGAGAGAGAGAGAGAGGCAGCTATGAGAGATTACAGAACCATCTGGCATTTTCCAAACCTGTGCTCACCCTCTCTCTGTGTATGGAGGGCAGAACAGAAGGTGGAGCTTATAGGAAACTGTTGTTCGTTCGTTCATACAAATCGTGTGGAATCACTTGTCTTATCTGTTCATCTGCTACCATCTATCGATCTATCTAGCCATCCATCCATCCATTTATATCTATCTGTCTGTCCACCATCCATCCATCCATCTTAAAGTAGGCTACATAAATAAACTATTTAATGATTAGTCTTATTACATTTTATGTGGATTTGTTTTTCTCTAATAAATTGCTTAGTACATCCGAAAACAATATAATAGCTGTTAATGTCTGAGTTTAGCTACACTTGTTTCTGTCAGATTATTCTCTCATCTTTCTCTTTCACCAGGCCATCCTTCATGTCTGCAGTTCACAGACAACATGATGCAGGCTGTGCGAACATACCAGTGGCAGTGCATCGAGTGTAAATCCTGCAGTCTGTGCGGCACCTCAGAGAACGATGTGAGTGTTTCAATACTAATGGAGGACATATAGAATAGTGTGTGAGCATAAAGAAATAGTTTTATATTATTTCCGTCATCTCAAACAAGATGGCACTCTTTACTTGTGCATTTGAAATTACCGACAGACCACTTTGCTAATATTTGAATTATATGCCAGCCTCCTCATATGGTTGACACTCAACTGTATGGTTCACACACTGTGTGTGTGAGAGAGAGAGTTAACAGCTTGGTGATGCCGTCCTCTTGTAGGATCAGCTTCTGTTCTGCGATGACTGTGATCGGGGATACCACATGTACTGCCTCAAGCCTCCTATGACACAGCCACCTGAAGGTAAGATCACTTCACAGCAGCTAATGACAATATAGATATGAAAAATCATATTTGCATAGCTCCAATTCTAAAATTTGCCATAGTGTTGTGTTGGATTGTTACATTTCACGTCTGGCCTATAATAACGTGCAAATATATGACAGTTTTTCTCAGTCCCTTTGGTACATTTCTTGAATCATCCTTAAGATTTGCAAACCAGTGGGTGCATTTCTCAAAACAATTCGTACAGCACCACACACCTGCAAAAGCCTGTAACTTGCTCGAAATCCTTAGTTCATCTCTCAAAAGTATTTAATAAATATATCAGTGCCATCAGAATGACAAGTCCTTGTGTCATTGTTCACAAACAAGATGTTGTCAATATAGTCAGAATTTGTAGATGTAAATTATGGATACGATTTTGATGACAATGACTGAAATTTCGCAAGACTGCACTTTATCTGTATGGCATATTTCAACAGTACAACTTTACACATTGCTCTGTCTCTGTGTGGGATATTGATTGCAAGAGATTGGACAGGTTTCACAATTACACTTTTACTGTTGTTCTGTAAACAAATTGAAATGCGATATAAAGAATAAAAAAAAATGTATATATATATATATACACCAAACACACACACTGTATATGTGTGTGTGTGTGTGTTTGTGTTACATTATGTCTCTATAAAGTATATTTACTGTATAATGTAAAATACAAGTGGACTACTGTAATCTAGCATTACAGTAAGTATACAGTATTACAGTATAGTGAACACTGTCTGATTACATACCTGTTCTGTCTACAAACATTTGAATTGTTCTCCCAACATCCGGCTGCACCTTTAGACCCGCCTCTGCCTTAAGGTCATGACTGAGAACATGTTCCACAAGTGGCCCTTATTTCATCAGAAACATTTCTACAATCTTGGCCTCTTCTACTGTTTTTCCTCCCTACCCTTCCACCATGCATCCTTAATCCTCTTCTTCTTCCTGGCTGTTGACCCTGTTTGTTTCCTTGTTCTTTTGTTGTCAGAATTTGTAACACTGTGTTGTGCTCTGTCTATATATGCTTGCCAAACGAAGCTTCGTGAGATGTACCTCTGAGCTATTTTAGAGAACTGCTCGATCATTGGTTGATCTAGCCCTTTACATTTTTCTATCTGCATCCACAGGAAGTTGGAGTTGTCACCTGTGTCTTGATCTGCTGAAGGATAAGGCATCTGGTTTCGGAGAGCCGTAAGCGTTGAGGTCCCATACAGACACGCACAGCAGACTCAGGATGGATGTTCATCCTGTTTTCCTCTGTAGTTTTCCTCCTGTAGTGTGAAGTGGAGATTTCCTCTTCCTCCGTGTTACAAACATTTTCCTCAATCACGTCTAGGCAATCGACAGGTCACACACATAGTGAATTCCAAAGGCAGAATTGAGTCCAGATCGTCTGCTCGCCTACAAATACAACTCACATTTATATGAAAAGTACTTAGTAAAATAGCAAAATCCGTATTAGAACTATATTGCGATTGAATGAAGTGATAATGAAACTCTTGTACACTAAAAAAATCTCCTGAGCTGTGATTCTAAGGCATTATTTCTTTGAAATTACGATTGACAACACCAGTTTTAAGAAATAGCAGATTTTAAAGTCAATATCATGGTGACAAGCTGTTTGTACTGTAAATCTGTAAGAAATAAAAAGCAACATAAACTTACCCAGAGACACACACCAGTGGTATAAAGCAGAACCCCTTTCATTTGATTTGGTTTCTATTCGCTTTAATCATGTTTTTAATGTGTGCAAGATGTAAGTTTACAGGATTTTTTTTTTGCAAAGACATTTTTGGCTTGCACAAAGAAAGAAATAATGAGGATAAATGTGATTAGAAGCTCATCTTTCTTACTGGGATCATCATTCAGGTAGACATTTAGAGCTTAGTATCAGAGTTATTGTGAAAGCAATCTTTTATCTAAATGGCAAAAAAAAAAAAAAAATCCATGTATCAAAGCAGCACTTATAGTTTTTACTATTATCAGGACTGGAAAATAATGTGTTTTTTATTTGTTCTATATATATATAATTTAGTAGACAATCGTGTGGTTGGTAAATTACATAAGCCATCATATTCAAATACACCTAATGCTTTTCTTTGTGCAATGACAATACTGGCATGCGTTGTATTGTCTTTTCAAGCCTGCTTTTTTTCCTTTAGGTTCTATTTTCTAACTATTAAATGTGAACACATTGACTGTTCAAATCTTTATGTTATTCTGTGTCTGACATATCTGGTTATGCTCCAGGAACATTTTAGCTTTGTGTCATAAACCTTCTATTGTTCCATCCGCCTGTTTGGAGCCCTTCATACCTCTCTGAGTGAAACATCTGTTCACTCCATTTTGTATTTCTTTGCTCATGATATATTAGCATTTCTATTTCCATCTGGACATTCTCTCATGTCATTCCCAGCTCCTTCACCTGTATAATACATTAGAGGCTCTATTTTCAGAGCCAATTCATCAACACTCTCCAGATCCAGCGATCTGTTGAATATTTTAGCTATGCATTTTTGTCTATTTCAAAGGTCATCTACATTACATTTACATTTGTTTTTTGGCAGATGATTCTTTGCCAATGAGATATTGGCATTAACATGATAAAAAGGAGTGAGCAATTTCTTAAAGGTTCCAAAATCAAAGTAGTTTTGATAATGTTTAGAGTCTCTTTATCTACCACAGGTAAGCCTTTGGAATATAGTTTTTGTTGTTATTAGAATAAAAAGAAAAGAACTGAAAAGGAACTTACAGCTGATGCTGTATGACTTTTCACACTTAAAATTGTTAACCCATTCTAATTCCTGGGTTATCTTTTTTCATGTTTTGCACTGTATTCAGGTTTCGAGATTTCACTGTACAAATGTAAATCCTGGGTTAATGTTCTTTTTTGGATATTTGCAAAGATAGGCTATCGATTGGGCGAACAATTTAAATAATGATGTCTTCCTTTCTAAAGAATACGTGTTATATATTTCGTTGCCTGTGGTTAAAAGGGGGTTAAAGGTATAGTTTACCCCCCAAAAATAAAATTGTCATCATTTACTCTCCCTCAAGTTGTTCCAAACCTGTACGAATTTCTTTCTTCTGCTGAACACAAAACAATATATTTTGAAGAATGTCGGTAACCAAACAATGATGGACCCCATTAACTTCCATAGTATTTTTATTTTCCATAGCCTGTTTGGTTACTAACATTCTTCAAAATATTTTCTTTTGTGTTCGGCAGAAGAAATAAATTCGTACAGATTTGGAACAACTTGAGGTTGAGTAAATGACAGAATTTTCATTTTTGGGTGAACTACCCCTTTAAAAAAGACGATAGGCTAATAGTTAAGTAGCAGCTTCAACAGAAGTGTAGAGTCGTTCAATACGAACGGATTTCTTCTAGTCCAATAGTAGAACAACTCAGTTTTGAGTTTATAAGGACGATAATCATTCCATTTAATTTGTGTCATGGCCTGTTACAATGACATTTCTTGTATATAATCACCTGTAATACAAACACAAATGTTGAATACTTTTTAATCCTTTCCAGTCACGAGAATCGTTTTGTACTTAGTTTTTTTTTTTCTTATGCCCTTTTCTTATTCTTATCCTTGTTATAATGTAATAAAAAGATAATTAAATCCAAGGCTCTGCTGATTTCATGTGGGTTTTTTTAACGAAATTGGTTGTACCGCTCATGCTTACCACTAGAGAGCAGCACATACACATTAACAGACGAGCTGAGAGACAACACCTTTCCTCTATCCATTTAGTGCTGATATTTCGGTTCGGTTTCATAAAATCCTTCCTCAACAACTTTTCTGACATTATTTAAGTTAAATTTAGCTCATGGAATCACAATTCTCTGATATAGCCATATATGCCACAACAAACATTTAATAGATGTTTAATGGACCATCACGCACAGTTTGAACTAAAAATACATGACAAAATGGTCCGAGCATAGAAAAATGAGCATTCTTGAGCTCTCCAAATGAAGGTTTATTGAAGGTCTCAGGACTTCAGTTCCTCCTTTCCATTATCTTGACCTATTGCGTTCTCATCTTTTTTTCAATGAAAAAATAAAAACAAAACAACCTAAAGGCAATAAAAGTCTTTAGAAATATTCCATGCATAGTTTTGTGCTGAATATGGCACCTGTGCCTCTAAGTTATATTCCACGTTAAGTATTCTACATATAATCTTCCATATTCAGGATTGCTGCAAAGTCTATACATTCCATTTAAACCTAATGTACAGTTATGAGTCAAATCAACTACCTGAAAATGTGTTAGAGGAAATGTTAACAGAACACATTTCTGTTCTGCCATTTGACCATTTTTAAACTTGTGGGCAAATGAGAGAATTCATGTCATTCAAGTCTATGTGTCTCTGGCAGTGATGCTGCTTCAGGGAACAATGCAGATTGGTTGGCTGCTCTGTGTCCTGCAAAAATACATTTCTAATAGATGGTAATCCCACAAAAACATTGTCTACTGTTGATATGTTAGGAGTGAAGGGCTGTGATCTGCAGATATTTGTGCTTAGAGAAAATCATCATCATTATGACTAATCACTACATCGACACTAAGCGCTCACATTCTACATTGAATCTACAATACCTTACATTAAAGCAAAGACAAACATAGCTGACAAGTTTGTTGGTTTCAAACATACAGTAATATCAGATGCTTATGAAAGCCCAATTTCATAATTATGGCATAAAAAGGCAAAATTATGAGTCATCATTTATTTTTAGACTTAAATAATAATAATTTCTAGACTTTTTGTCATCTTTTGTGTATAACTTAGTCATTTCTGTTTTTATGACAATGTCTTTTTATCTCAATTTTTACATTTTATCCCATACATTTCAATCTAATAATTGACTTAGTATGCCATAATTTCTATGTGGTGGAATGTGCCTCAATAAATGCTCCTAAATCATTTAATGTTGTTATTTGTTATTAAAGCTGTTCAGGAAACTTACTGACCAAGCATCTCTGGCATCCAGTGTTCCTCACTTGCGCAAAAGCTCTGAATCATTCATCCTACAATACTAACACTTTTATTGTCCAGCTCAGTATTTCTTTATTCCTCAATAAAACTGAGTCTAAAAGGTATCTCACTACATCATTCTCATCTCAGTTAGAAGTATCATGTGCTAATATCATGTGAGTATAACACATCCAGTAGACACAGAATAAATAATTCTAGTTTCATCAAAATGGCAGGAGTAATAACAATGTGCTTTTCTGATCCCCTTCGCTTCCACATTCATTCTTCATATTCAGTGACTGTTCAACACAAAGAAAAGTTCTGTGCAAACCTTAACCACAGTCACTGAAAGCCCTTGACACGTTCTTCACTCCTTTGGAATGCTCTGAAGATTTGAGACATCCTCCTCGCTTCATCGGATTTAATCGTTGACGTACCGGACTGATTACTGCACACCTTGTTTTCAAATCTGACAATGAACGTTTTTAAATGGATATCCAGCGAGACAGTCCTGTCCTTTCTGCAGTTTGGTTATAGGTATCATATAAACGTATAATGGTTCTCTAGATGGTACTGGGAAATCTGACATTCATGTATGCAGTCTGTGCAGTCGCTGATTTAATAGACACAGACAACACTGTTGCCGTTTGGAGATTTTCTTGGACTTATTGCATGCTGCCATCTAGAGTCGGTAGCTGTGCGGTGTTCGGGTGGGTTTTGGAGAGAGGGTGGTCCGTACACATGGCCCGCCGTGGCCACGATGCTTCCACCCCAAAAAACGGCAATTTCTCTGGAGGGGTCTGGACTTCTGAAAAGCCAGGACTCGTCAGGAGGACTGCATGAGGCCTGTCAGGCGTTTACTTGTCAGAGACTTGCCCTGAAACACAGTTACAATATTATTAAATGTCAAAACTCTTTTAAAGAGTCGGTTAAAAACTTATTCTGCTCTTGCAATTGACTAATAACATTCATCAGCAGTTATACAATAACGACACATACATTTTTACTTTATAACAATGTATAAATTCATAAATAAAAATACAATATAAATTGCATGTACTATATGTATTTCTATGTAATGTATTTATTTTATAATCAAAGATAGGGGTACATAAATTCTAGATGTTCCTATTTTAAAATAACATAATTAAACAAATTATTTATAACCCACACACACACACACACACACACACACAATGTATACAATATATTTATTTGTTTACATTATTATCAAAGACAGGGGTGGGTGAAATTAAATAATATTTGAAAAAGTAAAAAAAAAAAAAAAAAAACTATGTTCAAATATGCAGAATTATATCTAAATATAATATATCTATATCGAATTAACTTCACTGTCCAGTGAAATGAGCAATAAAAATAAATTCTGTCCAGTGACAGCGTAAATAAAATACAAATGACGGTGAAATCCTATTGAACCCGTTACATGTTTTTCAGAAAATATCCCATTTTCTTGTGATCACATCTGACCACCTTCCAGAACTCTGAGGTAAAGTTAAAAAAGGATTGTTAAGGCAGACTTATTTCTAGACAACAGGTGCCACTCACCACAGTACGAGTGAATTTCTCCAGGGATGTGCGGCGGCCTTGCTCGGTCTCAGGCTGTGGAGGCCAGGTTAATGGAGGGGAACAGGGGAAGAAACAGTGCACAGCACCAGGTTAACATGTGTTAGTACAAAAACATTCAGGACAATTAATGTTAATCGGAAACAATCACACTGGGGACAAGACAAAATTAAACTGCACAACGGTACCCATGTTTAGTCATTATAAGTTGGCAGTAGATCAATGCCGGGGACACACTTAACGACTAGCTGAAACATTCTAAGACTGAACGCACTTACAGACTGTTTCCAACAACTGGAGCAGATATTAAACACTGACTGAACGTAACCGTCTCTGACTCGCCGCGTTTGGGCACGATCAGTCGTAAGTATCAAATTACAATCATAATCGGCCTTACAGTCGTTAAGTGTGTCCCCGGCTTAAGTTGGCCATTAGAAGATAGGTTGGCTTAGTATTTTTTAATAAGTGCAAATTGAACACTTGCTTGAAATCTTTTCATTCAGAGCTTTTGTTCATTTTGTCAAAATGAAACTAAGGGCTGAAATACTGTCCCTGAAGTCAAGAACTGACTAGGAAGGAATTTCTGCCGGAACACCAAAAATGAGATTTTACTTTTAAGCTGTCTTTCGAAATCTTCATTTTGTATGGTCGGATCAAAAAAAAATGTATATATACTGTATATCTTTTGGCTAACAATTAGATGTATCGCCAACGTCCAAGAAAGTCAATAAAAATGGTCTTGATTTAAAAAATAATTTACAGGTGTTTACCTCGTTTAAAAAATAAAAAAAATTATTACGCACTGTATTAGGTTTTTGTATTAAAGGCAACGTCTGTAAACTTAATGGAAAATATCCTAGCCTGAAAATGACAGTTTGTCTATGGATATTTTTCTGAGATGCACTGATTTTGCCAAGAAATGCAGAAAAATGTATCCAGATTCATTACACACGGCAGAAATTGCCACGAGAGACATTTGAGATTGAGACTAACCTTCTTTCTGGCCAGCAGGAGGTCCTGGTAAGCACTGGAGCGCAGGAAACGAGGGTAGCTGTCACTCTTCATCAGCTTGTAGATATGGTCCTGAAAGAGAAAAACGTTGGAGGCTGACAGGAAGGCGAAAGAAAAGTGCCTCATTGCAAAGTAATGAGAATCAGCCAAGAATCTTCTAAAAACCAGCTTCCTGTCCTCATGATCCTGCTTCTTATCTCAAGCATAACTTCACATATGCAAACAGAAAATAAATCTGTAGGTTCTCCTAAAGGAAGTATCAATCTCTGATAAGGCATATATTGCAGCAGTAGTAGCGAGACTTTGCAAATTCAAAAGTAATGTTTTACTTAAGGTGCACTTGTTTTTTTCTTCCTTTATTTTCACAATTAAGCGTAATCCCCTTGACAGACTCCTAGCAAGTATCTTGAGAGACTCTGATCAGTAATTTCATGAATTCTTTAACATTCTTCAATTATTCTGAAAGCAGTAAGCTTGTAGTCGGTGACAGTTTCTGGAATAAAATGGATTTCATAATTCCAAAGAGATGGTGTATTTTTCCCTGCTTCTTGAGCATTCAAATGCCTGTTATTCTGTCTCTTTCATCAACCATGTAAATGTAGATAAATGAAGGAGACAGACATAAGGCAAACTCTCTTGAACAAAGCCACGAGGACAAGGACAAGGAACAGATGATCTATCAGCATTACTGAACATCAATCTCCCCGAATGGCCCAAAGCCTTTAAGTTCCTCCTCATCAATTCAAAGAATAAAAAAGATTCTGCCTTGGGCACAACTTGTCCCTAAGTGCAGCTTTAATACTCCCTCCCTCCGTCCATCAAAAGACCTAAAAGCCCTCAATCATCTGTAAAACTGTTAAGCGTTCACACATTGGTTATTGAACATAATAAATAATAATAATAATAATAATAATAAGGTACAATTGTTTGATAAGTCATGATGTCTTCTCATTTAGTTCATATAGTGGGATCATTTTCCCCAGAAGTGTAGAAAGGGTGTGGGAATAGTGAAAAGGAACAGCTGTGACAGCTTACTCACCTGGGCATCTTCAAAGCTGTAGCGGCCCGCGTCTTTTAGATTCTGACTGGTGCGCTCGTAGCTGTGCGAGTCCAGATTGATGGCATTGGGAGCTCCTTCAGCAAGAAACTCTTGCCAGATCTCCTGAGCACGAGCTGGCACTTCCTGCAGGGGGCGGCTCTTCAGATCTTGCACACCCAACCAGAACCTAAAGAGAAAACAATAATAATTGTCAGCTGTATATATAGAGTATTGGAAATGGGAGGATGGTACAAATCAAATGAACTTCACATATGTGGTTTTATTGTACAGCTGAATGACGGACGCTACAGTTATAAACTGACAGGACAATGTTGGAGGATTTGATGCGGAACAGATCCCGAGCTCCATTGACAAATATCTCATCTTGTAAAATGTGTGGTCAGTACCGCTGCTCCCTCTACACAGATTACATGTGATCGCGAATTCAAAAGTGAAAAACATTCAAAAGCGATTTCAATACCTCAAGGAATATTGGAGGTCCTTCTAAAAAAATTAGCATATTGTGATAAAGTTCATTATTTTCCATAATGTAATGATAAAAATTAAACTTTCATATATTTTAGATTCATTGCACACCAACTGAAATATTTCAGGTCTTTTAAAGTTTCAATACGGATGATTTTGGCATACAGCTCATGAAAACCCAAAATTCCTGTCTCAAAAAATTAGCATATCATGAAAAGGGTCTCTAAACAAGCTATTAACCTAATCATCTGAATCAACTAATTAACTCTTAACACCTGCAAAAGATTCCTGAGGCTTTTAAAAACTCCCAGCCTGTTTCATTACTCAAAACCGCAATCATGGGTAAGACTGCCGACCTGACTGCTGTCCAGAAGGCCGTCATTGACACCCTCAAGCAAGAGGGTAAGACAGAAAGAAATTTCTGAACAAATAGGCTGTTCCCAGAGTGCTGTATCAAGGCACCTCAGTGGGAAGTCTGTGGGAAGGAAAAAGTGTGGCAAAAAACGCTGCACAACGAGAAGAGGTGACCGGACCCTGAGGAAGATTGTGGAGAAGGACCGATTCCAGACCTTGGGGGACCTGCGGAAGCAGTGGACTGAGTCTGGAGTAGAAACATCCAGAGCCACTGTGCACAGGCGTGTGCAGGAAATGGGCTACAGGTGCCGCATTCCCCAGGGCAAGCCACTTTTGAACCAGAAACAGCGGCCGAAGCGCCTGACCTGGGCTACAGAGAAGCAGCACTGGACTGTTGCTCAGTTTTGCATGTCATTCGGAAATCAAGGTGCCAGAGTCTGGAGGAAGACTGGGGAGAAGGAAATGCCAAAATGCCTGAAGTCCAGTGTCAAGTACCCACAGTCAGTGATGGTCTGGGGTGCCATGTCAGCTGCTGGTGTTGGTGCACTGTGTTTTATCAAGGGCAGGGTCAATGCAGCTAGCTATCAGGAGATTTTGGAGCACTTCATGCTTCCATCTGCTGAAAAGCTTTATGGAGATGAAGATTTCATTTTTGAGCACAACCTGGCACCTGCTCACAGTGCCAAAACCACTGGTAAATGGTTTACTGACCATGGTATTACTGTGCTCAATTGGCCTGCCAACTCTCCTGACCTGAACCCCATAGAGAATCTGTGGGATATTGTGAAGAGAAAGTTGAGAGACGCAAGACCCAACACTCTGGATGAGCTTAAGGCCGCTATCGAAGCATCCTGGGCCTCCATAACACCTCAGCAGTGCCACAGGCTGATTGCCTCCATGCCACGCCGCATTGAAGCAGTCATTTCTGCAAAAGGATTCCCGACCAAGTATTGACTATTGAGTGCATAACTGAACATAATTATTTGAAGGTTGACTTTTTTTTGTATTAAAAACACTTCTTTTATTGGTCGGATGAAATATGCTAATTTTTTGAGACAGGAATTTTGGGTTTTCATGAGCTGTATGCCAAAATCATCAGTATTAAAACAATAAAAGACCTGAAATATTTCAGTTGGTGTGCAATGAATCTAAAATATATGAAAGTTTAATTTTTATCATTACATTATGGAAAATAATGAACTTTATCACAATATGCTAATTTTTTGAGGAGGACCTGTACGTGTTAAGTTAAGAAGAAAATCCTTTAACCATTTTATGGTAAACAAGTGAATGCCAGACTATCATTCCTGCAATTTGATTTAAATCATGCACCATGTTTCTGTTCCATGGCCATGTTCACTCTCTAAAGCCAATTTTTACTCCCAATCAGCACTTGGCGAATGTTACTTTTGGAACCTCTTTACAACGCTGATGGAAATGGCATTCCCAAACTCTTTAGTAACAAACACCAGGTTAATTATTGAAGTCAGTACACACTCATAGCTTGCCATGACGGAGAGAGATAGAAGCAACTCCTCCTCTCATATCAAACTTGCGCTGTAGCTCTATTGATCCCTGCAGTGTAGAAGTGGTTTAGGGCCTGATGGGCCCAGGGGAGAGTCAGGCAGTCAAGAGGACACATCACTTTCACTCTCCTCACAGACTGGCAAACATAAGACAGCCCCCACAGAGGCTATTAAATGCCTAGCTGGGGGATACGTGGAGATGCGAGAGAAAGAGAAGGATGAGAGATGCATGGAGACAAGCAGCATTTTATCTCTAGCCTAGTCAACTTTATGGCTCCAGTGACCTGCATTATCTCTGCAGCTCCCTTCGGGGCCTCGCTGTCCTGGTTGGGCATCTCCTGGGGCCCACCGCTGCCTCATTTGCCCCACGATGCCCGTGTTTTGCATTAGCTTATCACAATGCATCAGTGATCAGGCTTTGGATGTGGTAATGATCATGTACCATCAGTGAATTTACTCGCTCTTTCTCATTGGCGATATTAAAGCGCAGCTCTGCGGTTGAGGTCTGACCTTTTGCTTGTCCTGTCCTGCTACATTTTGTGCAAGTCATTAACAGCAGAGTGGGAGGTTAAGAGAGGGATGAGTATAAAATGTCACAGAAGTGCAAATGAAAGGAATATGGCGATGAAAGGCTCACAGGAGGTTCTCGGAGCTGAATTCGGACTCCAAGAATTTAAGGAACTGCTCACGGCCCACTGGGTCCTTTAAAGCCTCGTCCAACGAGAAGCCCCACTTCTTTACTCGCTGTTGACTCGGGTCCTTACTGAGACAGACAGAGAGAGAGACGGAGGGAGAAAGACAGTATTTTATTTATTTAACTTGCATTGTTCTTTGCGATATCTACTGAGAGCAGCTACTGCTTTGACAGCACAATGTACCATTGTTTGACATATTAACAAGACAAAGATGAAAACAAAGAGAGAAAGAGACTGTGTGTGTGTACACAAGATCACTTAACCATGTCTAATAATAATATTTGTATATTAGTCTTTGAATAAATAACAATATGTAAAGCTCCACAGGAGTGCTCAGCTTAATTTCAATATCTGTTAATTAACTTAATAAGGTAAATTAGGCAACCTTTTTGCATAACTAAGTGACAAGAATCACATTGTGAACACCCAGAAATGAAACTCTAGGATGAGCGTGCGTGTGGGATGTATTTATTAATTCCTGTCAGGGCATTTTTGAGGTGCTTTGTAAACGGCTCAGGCAAACAGAGAAGAAGGAACCTGCAGTGTTTTATGTAATTCAAAACAACATAAGGACTTTGGCAGACTTGAACTACTTGAGATATTCAGAACAAGGTACTACATTAGTCACAATCCTGACAAGAGGTCCACCAATCAGAGTAGTCAGTGTTACTATGGAAACATGACTCCCGCTCTGCGAATGAAGTCACCAAATCAGTCTTCCTTGCACTCTCAATTTCACAGTCCTATGTTCCAGTGAGATTTTTGTCTACAATTCAGGAATTGTCAGCAGACCTTTATGTTATTTTAGGATGGACCCCAGTTTGAGCAACAATGGAGAAGGGAACAGTAACATAGAATAACAGTCACACAAGAACTTCAAAATAAAACCAAAAAGAAGCATAAAAACTAAAGAAATGAAAATCTAAAAATGGGATAAATTTAACTTCTAATGCAGACGTTACAAGGCGGACAATTAACAATTTAGACCTCTTGCATCTTCTTCCTATCATTTAATGAAACCTGACTAGAGAATAGAGAAATCTAAAAAGAGCGATGTGATATTTAGGTTTTCATACCTAGCCTCTAGCTCCCAGAAAGTGACATCATCACCGATCCAGGGGTTAGATGGATCTGGTACTGCCACAAAGGGGTCATAGTCAAGATACTGCTCAGTGTAACTCATCAATCTGCAAGACAAAGGTATGAAATCATGTTTATATTTTAATATTATTGTACTGGAACAACATTCCAATCAACCAATCAGATTTGAGGGACAAGTTTAGTTACAGTTAGACATTCTACTAACTATAAGTAACTTTGCAACAACATGTCAGCTACCAGTTATTAGAGTATTAATAAACTGTCTGCTTAATATCTGCTAACACTTTATTTTGATGGACCCCCAACAAACAATCTACTGACTAAGTATTTTAGCAAGTAAATGTCAACTAATTCTACTAACCCGAACCTAACAGTCTACTAACAGTCTACTACTACTCTAATGAGAGTTAGTTGACAAGTTAATTATAGTTATTACACGGCTCTGTGGAATGCTTGATTCTGATTGGTCAATCGCGCCATCCAGTGGTGTGTTATTCCTCGATAACAACCGTTGAAAACAGATAACACAGGCTCATCCGGGTTACCGAAGTCAGCAGCGCTATACGCTTGCTAGGAACGCTTGCTTATTCTTCGTGGAAGTTTTGCATTTGGTAAGCTAATAAAATATTAAAACTTTGTGTACAGTTATTTAATTATGCCATCCAGTATCGTGGACTGGCTCTCTCTTGTGTTATACAAACGCAGCTGCTTTCATGACTATTGTTTTGTACACTGTTGATACAAACAGGTACGATTTTAAAACGGTTTAATCTGAAATCAATATCTCTCATCTCCATAATTATTTATGCGGTGAAATGCTGTGTAGTAAGTGGTATGACTGTATACCGTATCCCTTAAATGTCCGTCTAGTTTGAACTTGCCGCGCTAGCAACTGCTCTCTCCGCGGAAGCTTTGTGTTTAAAGACCTAATAAAATATTTCAACTCAGATCAATATTTTGTGTCTAATTATTTAGGCTACTTATGTGGCAAGTAACCGTGTAATAAGCAGGATAATGTACATCCAGCCGGTTGTTATCTCAGAATAAATCCTCTTCAGACTGATGCAAGACCTCATCAACCTGTCGGGGGTTTATTCTGAAATAACAACCGGCTGGATGTAGATTATCCCTTACTTAGTAGAACTTCAAAAGTGGACCATCCAAATAAAGTGTAAACTGCCTGTTAATGTTTAGTTAAAAACATCCACAACCAATCCGATTCCTGAAGGAACAGCTTGAATGTTAAACATACAGCTCACAATTTGTGAAGCAAAGTTCATACTGTATGGGATCTTGTAGTTAAAGATACACATTCTGTCAGTAATACACATGAGGTTTGTCTATACTGTTTTATAAGAAAGAATGGAACATGTTTCTAAAATGTTTGTTAGTTTATTATTTTTGTTTAATAGTTAAAGGTGACCTATAATTCAAAATTGAATTTACCTTGGTATAGTCAAATAACAAGAGTTCAGTGCATGGACATGACAGAGTGAATCTCAAACTGGACTGTTTTCGCGTTCTCATTTAATTCACGTTTATGAAAAACACCCCTGAAAAACGGTCGGTTCTCCACACAATACCGACTGTGACGCAATAGTCGGGATCATTAATATGTACGCCTCCAAATATTTGCATAATGCCAGCCCTCAATGCCAGGCGGAACTGCGCAGCCGAAGCATGGCAGTTGCTCAGTGTGGATGTACACATGAACACAAAAGTATTTTTTAGTTCCTTCATCTGAGCCTCTGAAGAAACAATGGGTTAATTTTATTTTCTCTGGAAATTTTCAAACATTTCACCGACTGTTTCCTCAACTTGGGCCAATACAGAGCTGGCCTCGGATCGAGCTACCAAGCAACACTTTCTGATGTGTAATTGTTCAAGTTCAGACAGGTAATCTTTCTCTCAAAATCGTTCAATACTGTTTATGCATCAGTAAGTCAAGCCAGTGACTAAAATATCAGCTTCACATCGTTTCTTTTAGTAGGATGAAAATAATCGTATTTAAATTGTGAACAAATTATATACAGAAAGCGATCAAAGAACAATCTTTCCACACAGCTCGAGTTTATCTGGACACTTGCCAAACTCGTTATGAAATCAATGACGCACGTTACTGCACAACGAAGCTCTTACTGTATTTACATCATCGTGTTTGCATTGGTGAAAGCAGAGAGAGTGCAGAAACTGCTTTGCAATGATAAGATCTTCATTCTCGTGATCAACACACTGTCATCTGCTCAATGCGCATCACGGCAACATTTTATGTGATGGGAATAGATCTAAATACTTTAAAAACTTCTCACGATTCGTTAATCTCGATAGCTGTTATAGTAAAAACGTATAATAGCAGTAGTAAAAGTATTCGGGAGAGAGTTTCACATGTAATGCGTTGCTATTTCATATGCAAGCATGTCAGCCAATCACAGCAGTGGCCGCGGTTACACTGAATCCCACAGCAGACACGCCCCTTCAAACAGAGTGTTCAAATCAGAGGCTAAAAGCAGGCTAGGAAAAATGCCATTTATTTCTAAATTATGATTATTTTTTATCTAAAAAACATACTAACATTATAAGGGTAACCCAGGAAACATTATAAAATAATAATAAAAAACATTCTAGGGCACCTTTAAGGCCAGTTACTGGATTGCAATAAAGTCCCGTTGACACCAGAAACGATAACTATTAAGACAACTATAATAATAACTATTAGTTTCCACACCAATGCACAATATTGTCTGTTTATTATAAGTGCACACTGCAGTTTTGTCATCTGCCGCTTTACAAGCTCGAGCTCCTTAAAGTTGGATGGATTCTGATTGGCTGTCAATTTTTTTTTATCGTTCATCAGCTGGAAAAGTATTGTTCTGAAAGTGATTTCAACACTATTGTTCTTCTGTGCCGTTATTGTTATAGTTGTGGTGTGGAATCTGCTATTCTTTTACATTTAGAATGATCTTTAGAACTATATCTTTATTGTTATTATTGTTGTTATCCTTGATGTGAACAGGCCTTAAATGTTGTCTCTAAAACAATTCTTGCATAAAAGTATTTTCAAAGCTATTTATTATCAAAATAATCTCACTACTCGGTAATAACATTTAATTTACTTACAACTTACAAGTACTTAAAAATAATAAATAGGACTATTAAGGAACCAAAATCGTTAAGAGGATTCAGAACTGGAAACATTTAATTCTTTATGATTCCCATCCCTAACAAGCATGTTTTTTCCTCAAATAACCTAATATTAATTGCATGTATTAACATTTGCTGAGAAAAGTTTGAGTTTCATGGACAGAACAAAAAAGAGGACCTACGTATCAGCGACTTTGGACATTTTCATACAGTGTCGATCCAACTGAGTGTTCAAGAAAAGAATCTGAAAAAGACAGAGCATGTGAGTGGTCCGTGCTAAATATTAATAGCCACTGTGAGACTGTCAAGAATCAAATTCACAACAATCCTTCGCACAGACCTCTTTCTCTACGTCCTCTCTGGTGTCCTTGCTGCTCTGCTGTGAGGGTGTGTGTACAGGACTCTGAGTCTGTGTGTCATCCACAATCCCATACACTGACTGTGAAACAGAGACAAAGATAGGTTACAATACAATTATCTGTCTCATACATACAGTACACACATTAATACAGCATCAGCACCTTTTTCACTCTTTGAGGATTCTTTAGGCGACGACACTTCCTGATGTCCATCTCTGTGGTGTTGACACACCCAGGCTGTGAATCACAATCATATGTAAATATAGCTATAAAAAAACTGATACAATGTGCACATTTCCCACTATGATCGTCAATCACACAAATTGCTGCACCCAATAATACACATACAATTTTTTTTCCCTCCCTTAAAAAATGTGTTACCTATAAAGTTAAATATTTGATAACACTTATGAACAGGGTTCTATTCATTAATATTAGTTAATGGAATAGCTAAAATATAATAGCAATGAATAATAGGCTACTTTTACAACATTTATTTAAATCGGTTTATGGGATAAAAAAAAATTCTGCCATCATTTTCTTACCCTCATGTCATTCCGAACCAGTAGTATAACTTTATTTGTTTTGTGAAACACAAAATAATATATTTGAATAATGTTGGTTTTGGTTCCCATTGACTTCCATTGTATGGACAAAAAAACACTGAGACATTTCTTAAAATATCTTGTGTTCTACAGAAGACAAAGTCACACAGATTTGAAACAACATGAGGTCGAGTAAATTATGACAGAATTTAAATTTTTAAGTGAACTATCCCTTTAAAATGTTAATTTCTATGCATTTTAACAATTCAAGTATGTTTAAATTGTATTTTTATTTTGTATATTTATAAATTCACATTAAGCTAAATAATAAATGCTGTAAAATGTTTAGTTCAGAATACCAAATGCATTGAATGTCAACAAATTGAATATTATTGTAAAGTTTACTCAATATTTTTAATCTACTGACAGTACTACAAATGATATTACAAACTTGTTTTGACAGCTTCAAATAAATAGTTTTGTCCAAAACGCACTAATTTGCTCAAATCTGAAGGAATCAGTGCAGATTTTTAAACATTATTTTGGGGTTCTGCAGATTGCCACATTGGCAGAACATCTAGACATATTTTGAAGTTGCCTCAAATATCCTTTTATGTACTCAAGAAACTTCAATATGTATTTGTTTTGAAATACCCCAAAGTGCCTCATTTTTATTTACTAAAGAAAGCGTCAACATAGTTTGAGCAGGAACTTCTGTGTTCCATTTAGCAAGAACTGCCCTTATAAAATGGGCCTTGAGGTTTTCCAAAGTGCTAATCTACGGAACCACAAATGGTGTCTCAAGTACTTAATTTTTACAGTGTGCCTATTTGATCTATTCAATTCAAACAAAGATGCAAACACAGCAACCCATCCCACACTGGATCCACCCCTCACACACACCACAGGACGGTGAACATCCCAGAAGGCTCTCTCTTGACTATCCAGAATCTTTCTCTCCGTTTTGTCTTTTTTCCTGTCGATCCTACAAAATCAAAGAAACACAAAGCTGCAAGACATTAATATTAAACAGAGAGCAGGAAACATTCCCAATCCCCCCACCCCACACGCACACACACACACACACACACACACACACGTCCTGCATCACGCGTTAAAACAGACAAAGAGCAAAGCCCTTATGCTCATCAAAGTTGCAACCTGCCTGCGAGCAGAGCTAATTCATTTCCATTCCTGCCACTTCACTCTTACATAACTGACATTTGCTGCATCACTCTCTCTATCTCTCACTGATCCTGGTTTTGAGCCCTGAGACTCATTCCTCTCTCCTGTTCTCTCTCTCCACAAAATTGGGGGTTTGGTCTTGAAAAGGGTACTGCAGACAGTGTGGTGATAGACACAGACTGATGATCAAAAATCTCAGCAGGGTTGACTTGTGTTTGCAGCCCTCGGCCATCAGATGAGGCTCTTCAGCCGATGTTTGAAGAGTGCGAGACTGCTTCAATCGATGAGAACCACTCCAAATCAAACGCACATGCTAATACGTCTCGCCCCCAACAACTACACATCTGCAATATTATTGTTACATTACATCATAATGAGAGTTTGTGTATATATATATATACAGTACATATGTCTTTGTGTGAATGTGTGTGGGCTGAATACAAAGGGTAGATCTGTCTTCAACAGAGGAGAGAGCAGGTATGAGTAAGAGCAAGTGTTTGCTTAGTTGTCCTGACAACAGCACTTACTTGACCTGTGCCTCAGCCTGCATGAAGATGAACTCCCACTTCCTGGCAAAAGCCCTCTGTAGTCTCGCTAGATTCTCCTGAATGAAAGAGACAGAGATAAACAAGCGAGAGAAAGAAAGAAAGCTTCAAACTTCAGCTTCATCCATCAAAAATGGAAAGTCAGCAACATTACTCTAGTCTTCAGTGTCACATGATCCTTCAGAAATCAGTCCTAATATGGTGATTTGAAAACAATGTAGAATTTTTTTTCCAGGATATTTTTGATGAATAGAAATTCATTTATCTGAAATAGAAAGCTTTTGTACCATTATAAATGTCTTTACTGTCACTTTTTATCAATTTAATGCATCCTTGCTGAATAAAAGTATTTATTTCTTTAAAAAAAATATCTTACTGATCTCAAACTTTTGAACGGTAGTGTATAATGTTACAAAATATTTCTTATAGCAGCTGTTTTGACAGAGGCCAATATATTTGGGAAGACTCTTAAAAGCATAAAATTGATCATTTTCCCTCTCTGCTGACTTTGACATCACAGCTCAGGATAGTCTGTGACTGTCACTTCAAGTAATTTATGCATTTATGGCTCAGTATATCGTCTCAAAAACAATCTACAAATGGCGTACATATCGCTATCTCAGTACGTTAAGCTATGGAGGAGAAAGTATCATTGAAAAAAAATGACACACTTCAAGTTTAATGCTCAACGACAAGGCTCACAATCGGTGCGTTCAGGTCTAAAGCAACTCGACGTATCTGCCAATAAGCACAAGAATCCAAAGTGAAATGCTTCTATGCTGGCAAAACACACTGCTTCCATTTTCTCTGTCGGCTGTCATCGCAGTGGGTCACTTACCGCCTCATAGTCCGCCAGCTCCAGCCGGGTCTTGTTCTGCATGGTCCGGCTTGCACAGATAGATGGCTGTGACAGGTAATGGAAAGAGAGAGAGAGAGAGAGAAGAGAGAGGAGAGAAGAGAGAGAGAGAGAGAGAAGCAGAAGAAATGGAGGAGAGAGAGGAGGAAGAGAGCGGGAGAGAGAGAAGAGAGAGAGATGAGGAGAGAGAGAGAGAGAGAGAGAGAGGAGAGAGAGAGAGAGAGAGAGAGGAGCGAGAGAGAGAGAGAGAGAGATAGAGATAGAGAGAGAGAGAGTAGAGAGAGAGAAGAGAGAGAGAGGAGAGAGAGAGAGAGAGAGAGGAGAGAGAGAGACAGACAGACAGACAGACAGACAGACAGAGAAGAGAAAAACAGACAAGAGGTCATGAGAGATTTGGCCTTACAACCGTCATGTATAATCCCGCCCCTACAAACACATCCAGCATAAGACCTTGATTGGATTTTGTGCTTTCTCTGCAATCTATCATCTCTGCTTGGCCAGTTTACAGACAGTAGGGGACTGTGAATGAGTCACCATTGACCATCAGTAAACATCTGCCCACAGTCATCTTCTCATTCTCAAACACCTACTGACCGCACACACAGAAGTGCTCTGCAGTCTCTCCCTCCACTGTTCAACAGGGCTGTAATAATCCTGGGAAAGCAGACTGTGGGCTGAGACGGGGTGTTCAGTGTTATGGAGTTATATAGCTCTCTGAAA